CCTGTTCCTGTTCCTGTTCCTCCTCCTCCTCCTCCTCCTCCTCCTCCTCCTCCTCCTCCTCCTCCTCCTCCCGAGGACGACGGCGATGCATCGGCTCGAGCAGAGCTCCCCTCGGCGCAGCGGCCGCGGCGGCCCTGGGGGGGGGCACCGGGTCCAGCTGCCCAGGCTGGCTGGGTTGGCTGGCGCCCAGCTGGCTCAGCCGGGGCTCGCACGCCTGGGCGGTCTGCGGCGTGGCCATGGGCACGAGATCCACCCCGTCGTCGTCGTCGTCGTCCTCCTCCTCCTCCTTCCTACTCGCCCTCCCCCCCTCCTCCTTCCCTCCTACCTCCTCCTCCTCCTCCTCGTCCTCCTCCTCCACCCCTTTGCCTAAGAGTGACTCCTCATTGTCGCACTCTGGGACGTGTCGATAGGGCGGGTCGGGCGCTTCGCCTGAGACTTCCTCACCATGTACCGACGATCCTGACGATTCAAATCCCACCAGCCCTTTGGGCGAAGGTGGTCTAACGAGTTCTTCCTTTTCGCATCTCAAACAAACCCTCTTCCCTTCGGGGAGGGGTACCCTCATCCTCCCCTCCCTGAGGTTTTCTTAAATGATTTCACGGTGTATTGAAGGAATATTAAAGGTGTCCCTTTTCGCCCAAAATGGTTCCAAGAGGGCCTCCGATGCTCCACGATGGCCTCCAAGGCGGCTTAAGATGGCCGGGGGCCCTCTTGGGGCCCTCTCCGACCAGGCAGGGATCCTTCGATGGCCCCCTCGGGTCCCCTGGGGACTCTCTTTGGCCGTCTTGGGGCTCTCTCGTGTTGCTTGAAGCTGTCTTCAGGCCGTCTTGGGGCCTCCTTGGGGGCCTCCTGGGCCGTCTATGGGGCCCATTTTGGGAGCCTCTGGGGCCGTCGCGGCCGCTGTCAGGACCGGAAAGCGAATACCCCGGAAGATATGTCGGGAACATATGTGCTTTCCAATAGGAAATTCTCGCTTTTTGCTCTGAGGGGGCCTTCTCGGCGGCCTTTTGAACAGTCTTGAGCGCCATTGTGGCCGTCTAGGAGCAGTCTTGGGTTGCCTTCGAGCGCTCGTGGCCCGTCCAGAAGCCATGTCAGTGCGCTCTTTAGCCAACGTCCAGACAACCTGGGGCGCTTTGGGAGCCTCTTGGGCCAGCTTGGGGGCCTCTCGGAGAGTCCGGGGCCCCTTCTGGGCACGCTTGGAGCCCTCAAAGCCCCCTCGGACCCCCATACTAACAAATGGCGCCGGTTCCGGGCTTTCCCCCGGCCGACTCCGATATACATATATATATATATATATATATATATTATCCCTAGCGGCTGCACGCTTACCCAGAGCACAACTTAGGAGCGTGGTCGGTCGGACTGGCGGTAGCCATCCATCCAGATCATTCACATCTTTCATTTTCACTCGCACGGACGCCCGATCGCACGGGCGCTAAGTTCTGCAGCACTTCAGTCGGAATTCGTGAATTCAACAGAACAAAATCATGTTGACAAGGCCGAGATCGAGGAGACTCCACTCCTGAGGAAACCATCATAGAAAGCAAATCTCCACGCATCGGCACCGACTGCGTCTGGAAAAGAATAGGTGGGAGGCAGGGGGCGGACGCGGTGCGCTTGAGCATGTATGTCGCGGGCGATGCAAGCAATCGCTCGGGACGCTCCTCGCCTCTCTGGAAAACACATGTCACAAACAAAAATTATCCCTAGCGGCTGCACGCTTACCCAGAGCTCAACTTAGGAGCGTGGTCGGTCGGACTGGCGGTAGCCATCCAGATCATTCACATCTTTCATTTTCACTCGCACGGACGCCCGATCGCACGGGCGCTAAGTTCTGCACAGTCGGAATTCGTGAATTCAACAGAACAAAATCATGTTGACAAGGCCGAGATCGAGGAGACTCCACTCCCATATCTGCCCATAAGGCATCTGGCGAAGCCGGCTTCAGCATTTCCGAAGAGCCCGAAGGAGTTTGACCGGAAACTCTCTCTCCGCAACCGAAGCTTTTCCTTGCTGTTCAGGCGTCATCTTGTGTACCTGCCGAAGGATTTTGCCGTGCTTCGAATACCTCACTACACTTTGAGCATGGGCCTACTGGCCGCGCTTCTGGATCTGGTCGAGCGTCGCCAGGCCCATATACATGTCATGCGAAGCTCCGGCATGCCGAACTCCGCGAGGTGAGATGTCCAGATCGGTGAGGCCCAGGTCGAACGCGGCCTGGCGAAACAGGGCCTCGTACTTGGAGAGAGTCATGTCGAACATGTAGGGAGCTGCGCCGCCTGCACGGTACCAGAGGCCAACCGCCTCCGCTACCCAGGACCGTTGCAGCTCACCGATCACCACCGTCCCGTCCACCACCCCTGTCTTGGCGGGCGCTGCGTGCTCGGCCTCACCCAGAAGCAGCGCCCAGGCCCGCGCGTGGCGCCGGCCAGCCCGGGGCGCAGGCGGCAGCACTGAGGACAGGAGCAGCGACGCGGCTTCGTCCGGCCTCAGGTAGCAGTCGAACTGCAGGACCAGGCACACCGCGGCACCGACCAGGCCTTTGCCCAGGAAGTACAGGCCGATCAGGCAGACGACGCCGAAGGGGATGGGGTCGCGGACTCGTCGAGGAGCCCGAGTGGTCCATCCACGAAGCGCCCTCGACGCCTTCGGGAAAAGGTTGGCTTTGTTCCGATCCAGGTGCGTCTCGAAGTGAATGTAGCCGTAGAGCACGTTGCGGCCTTCTGCGGGACCTGACCCCTCGAAGTACAGGTCGGTGAAGTAGTGCTCCATCGCCGAGTCCGTGGAGCTGAAGCGAAGCTACCAGGTCGCAGTGCTTCGACTTCGCCCAGCCCTTGAACCTGCCGAGCGCGTCTGAGTAGAGCCGCTTCGTGGAGTCACGGATGGCCCCGAGCCGCAGGAAATTGTCACGCGCCGCTGGCGGGACCCGCGCCCTGCGCGCCGCCGCCAGCCGCTCCTTCTCCTCGCCGACAGCCGCACGACCCTGCTGCCGCTGCGGCGGCCTCAGGGCCGCCTTGATGACCCCGCGCGCCGCCGAACTCGACGACGTGGCGCGCGAGGAAGTGATGCCCGCGGCTCTCGGCGTCAGCCCCGCCGTGAGCCTCGCCGAGTTTCGCTGCAACACCATGCGCCCGCGGCACCAGCGCCTCCAGCTCCGTGTCCCACTCAGAGGCGAGCGGCTCGGAGTCGCCGAAGGCCTGAGGAGGCGCCGCCGAGCATAGCGCGGCAGCCCACTCTCGGCAAAGGGCGGGTGAGTAGGCGCCAGCCTTGAGCCCACCCTGCAGAGGCTCATGACGGTGTGACCCATCACATCTTCTCCCCAGAACGTCCAGACAGATGGCGTTGGTGAAGATGGTGGTCGGCTTGCGAACATTTTCTCCGAATCCACAAAGATCAAACGAGACATATCGGGCGTCTGGCAGACTGGCAAGGACAGCAAGGGGCTCGAAGCGAAACAACTTCGAGCTGGCAGGATTCTCCAGCGACCACAACACACCGCAGCGGTCACACTCTTTGATGACCTCAGCTGTGAAGAGCGCCATGTCGACAGAAACTGCTTCCAACCGCCGCGCCCGCTCAGTGTTATAAGGCGTGGAGCGGGCAACTGACCAGGCGGAGCATGCTGTCCCCAAGTGTACGTGCCAGACCTTCCCGCTCCGAATCCAGCGCAACACAGCACGCTGCGTCGATCGACGTGACAGATCATATCGGGCGGAGCGCTTGATCTCGGCGCCCGGCAGAACCCGCAGCCCCTGGCGCTTGAGGGAGGCGCTGAGCCGGCCCGTGCCCGCAAAGAGCTCGGGCGCGGCCTGGGTCGCCCGGGGCGCGCCATGATGTCGGGGCGCGCCCAGGCGGCGGCCTCCCGTCCGCTGAGGGGCCACGGGCGCTCCGCCTTCGAGTCTCGTGGGCACCAGCACTCGAGGGGCGCGGGGGCGACGGGAGCCCTCGTCCGCGTGGTTCCTGTCCGCGCGGATGTGGCGAACCCGCCAAGCCACGCAGCCGGCAATCTGGTAGGCCGCAGCGCGTCGGCACAGCGCGTTGAGCGCCCAGCTCGACGAGCGGCCGCGGTCGAACACCACGGCGGACACGAGGTTGTCCGACAGGGTGAGCAGCCGGCGGTGGCAGCCCCGTCTGGTCCGCAAGCTACGTCGGAGACCCATGAGACAGACCCTAGCCTCCTTGACGTTGATGTGTTCCTGCCTCCAGTGCCAGAAGCCTTCCACCAGCGTATGCCAGCGCCGCTTATTGTCCCAGCAGGCGCCGACCACGGGGATGGCCTCGAAGCCTTCCACCTCCTCGCGCGGCGCAGCCCCTCGGGCCGTGCGCCGCCGTCTGCGTCGCCCGGGGCCGGCCCCCGCCTCGGCAGTGCGGGCCGTCTCGGTGGCCCGCTGCGCCAGGCGGGCCCGGGCCCCCAGCGGTTCCCAGGCGGTCCTGCCCACGACGTGCGGCTCGCCGAACGCCTCCAGCTGCTCGGGGTCGTCGCCGTCGAAGCAGGCCCCGAACGCCGCGCCCAGCGCCCCCAGGGTCGGGCGCGGCGGCGGAGGCAGCGGCGGCGCGGCCTTGAACCTCCAGCGCTCTCTCCACTTGAAGTCCTCCAGCAGCTCGTCGCCCGCGCCCCTCGTCTCCATGAGGGCGTAGCCGTAATCCGACGAGTCGCCGAGGTAGACCGACGAGTTGAACGGGGCATCCAGCTCGACCTCGCAGGTGAAGACCAGGTTGGACATGAGCCAGAGCTCCCGCCGCACACCTCGCCACAAGCGGCCCGACCTCTCCTTGTGGGCCGCGACGTAGGCGTAGCTCTGCGAGAGGATCGACAGCAGCGGCCGGCCGAGCCCACACATGTGAACGGCGTGGCCCAGCCAGATCTCGAGCTGCCACCCTGCCACCACTCGGCGGCGCAGCAGTGCCACAGTCGCCAGCTTGAAGCGCCAGAGGCGGGCAGACCGATGCCGTAGGCGGCGACCCGGCCCGTCGAACTGCAGCCCGAGCGCCTCGAGGTAGGGGCTGCAGGGGGCCTCGTCGTGGAGGTCGAGGCCGAAGGCGGCGCACTGCGCACGGAAGTCCTGGTGCGCCTGCTCCGCGTCCGCCGCGCTATGCCCCAGCCCCGTGTGGTTGTCCACGTAGACGGCGTGGACGGGCTGGCCGGGGACCAGGCGAGGGGCCGGGGCCCGCTCTCGGAGCAGGCTGCCCCAGCCCTCGGCAGCCACGGCTGCCGCGCGGGAAGCCACCGCCTCGTTGCAGAAGTAGAGGGCCCACGACCATCCCATGGGCATGGCCCCCATGCACCTTGGTGATGCCAAAACTCCCCTTGCTGAACGACTCGTCGATCCCGAACCAGTCGGCCACCTCGACGATGCTGAACTGGTAGAAGCCGTCGCGCACGTCGGCGCCGCTCTGGTGGAAGTCCAGGGCTGGGACGCCCCCCGCACCAGGCAGAACACAATGAGAAGCCATCTCCGCCGCCACGTCCGCGAACTCGGCAAGGTTGAGCTCCGCGAAGGACTGCGCGGTGCCAAGCTGCGTGGTGGGCGGCGGCTTGTGGCAGGCATTAGGGTTGCGAGCGTCCACGATGAGGCGAATGGCCCCCTCCTTCTTCTTGACGAAGAAGAGTCCGATGCGGCCCTTGAGGCGCCTCCTGGGCACCAAGATGCCCGAAGAAAGGAGGCGCCCGAACAGCTCGTGCCGGGCTCGCTTGTTGCGCCGCAGCACGGGGTCCCAGTAGGGCTTGGGCGAAGGCTCGGAGGCGAACTTGGCCTCGATCTCCTCGGCGGACAGCTCGATGCACGTCTTGTAGCGTCGGAGCCTCTGCGCTGCATGTGGTGGCAGCAGCGCTCTCGCATCCTTGGGTTCCACCACTCCCTTGGCCACTCGCAGCTTGGCTGGATCATAACTGGCAAGGCGACGTGGCTCTTGACCGTGCAGGTCTTTCGTCTTGAAGAGCTCCTGGAGGGCTCTGCTTGGAGAGAGTCCGTCGGGGACCAGGCCTGCGCGCCCCGCCCGATCCTCGAGGCTCGCCAACATCTCACGCTGGACTGCTGCAGGAGTCGAACTCGCCAGCGGAGAGCGTCGAAAGTGCGAATTGTTTGCTTGAGCGGCCGCCAGTTGGTTGACACCAAGTACTGCATCTCTAACAAGCCTTTGCCGCGTCGTGGAGCGCCACCACCTCTGCTGCACATAGTGAGGGGCCCCACGAGGATATTGCCGAACGTCGGGCACAGGAAGAGGAAAGGGACCTCCGTGCCTCCACTCCCCGCCAGGCCACCAGTCGGCTTTGGTGACCCGCGGGCCGTCGGGCGCCATTTAGCTCGGCAGAGGGGCCTCGGCTCCTTGGCCTCCAGCCCCTCTGCCTTTGCCCTTCGCATCGCTGCCCTTTGACCCCTTCGGGCCGCGCCTCCTCTCCCGCTCGTTCCTGGTCTCCTCCTTGTACAGCCTCGACTGCTTGAGGATGTTCGCTCTCTCCTTCTGTTGGTCGGACACCCAGGTGCGGAACCTCGGCGCCCGCGCGGCGCCGTCAGTCCCCGCCGCGCCGTCAGCGATGACCCCGAGCCCACTGAAGTCTGGGTCCCGGGGGTCGCGCGCCACGGCCATCTCCAGCATGACGACCCGCCTCGCGAGGAGCTCGAACGAGGCCAGGTTGCTGATGTCCACCTGGTCGACGCTGGTGGCCACGCGCAACATCTCCATGGCATTCTTGTGTTCATAGGCGATGGCGCTGTTCTGGTTGACGCCCGACAGCCTGATCCACTCTGCGTGATAGGACGTCGGATTCCCTGCACCTTCTCGGATCGAGGCCGCGAGTTCCTTGCACACTCGCGGTCCCTCGAACCTCCACTCGGGCATGTCACTCTCCCGCAGCATGCCGACGGCATCCGTCCACCCGAGGTGCCGCGTGCCGTCCGCCGCCGTGTGGATGCCCAAGCTCCTGATGTCCTCAGCCCCGACACGACGCTGCTCGGACCACTCCGCCAGTCGGGCGCGGCCGACCTTCTCGACTCCGCGAGCCGCGCCCTTACGTCGCACCAGGCCGCGGTTGCCCAGCTCCACGAACTCGTCTCCCTCGAGGACGTCTGCGGCGACGAGCGTCCCGAACGACGGGTCGTCGAGGTCTGCGTAGACCCACTCCTTGGCGTCCATGGCCTCGTCCTCGTCGCCGCCCAGCACGGCTGCCTGCAGACGGGCGCGCCTCTTGTGCCCGGCGACCGCCTCCCGTCCGATCGGGTCAAAGGCATAGATGTCGCCAGCGATAGCCTCTGGAAAGGCTTGTCCTCGCTCGAGCACCCGATGCCGTCGCTCATCCAAGTTGATCCTCTCGAGGTCCAGGTCTGGAGTAAGAGCGATCCAGACCGCACCTCGCACACGACGCAATAAGATGCGATGGTGCCAAGTAAAATTCGGATCAGCATCGTAACGCACGGCAACCTGGAACTCAGGAATGTCCGGGCACCGCGGCACTGCTGCCATGCCTCGATGAGGGCGTCACAGGGCCTGCTGTTGGACCCGACGTCAGTGCCAAGGTCGTCGGCGCGGCAGCTGGGGCAGCCGGCTCTGGGGCTGCAGCCGCCCGTGGCGCCGCCTGGGGCGCCGTCGCCGCTCCGCCTGGAGCGCGGCGAAGGCGGGGCGACACCGCCAAGCCGACGGCCACCCCGGCCACGAAGACCACCAGCAGCGGCCAGGCCGGCGCTGAGGCCGGCGGCTCGGGCGCCCGAACCTCGCAAGGCACCGGCGCCTGGCCAGGCGCCCCGCACGACAGGGAGCCGCACTCCACGTGCGGGCAGACCAGCGAGGGGCACGGGGGGCAGGATTGCAGGCTGCTGCTGAGGTGTAGGGAAAGGTGAGAGAGCTCTCGGAGGACCCCGCCGAGCTGAAGCAGGTCCATATGCGCTTGAGCATGTATGTCACGGGCGATGCAAGCAATCGTTCGGGACGCTCCTCGCCTCTCTGGATATATATATATATATATATATATATATACACACATACATACATACATAATATTCGATATGTGTAATATAATATAATATAATATGTGTGTGTACCTATGTACACACACACATATATATATATATATATTATCATACGCACCTTTCTGAGGGAGTAGAGTTCAGAGCTGATTAATTGAAGGCGGCGTTCGCGATTTTTCTGGCCGTTTCGCTAGGGACATCCTCGCAATTCTGAAAATCGGTGGCACCCCTCACGCATATCGTGACGTCAGGGTCCAAAAACACATGGGAAATTCAACATTCTAACATAAAACCTTCAACAACACATTGCAATTTTAATGGTTTTGACCCCGATTCTCAGAGAATGGCGATTTCGCCTGAGACATCCTCCCAAAATCGAGCCCCGACGTACCTTCTGGTACCCCAGACCCCGCCTCGGAGCCTCTTGGGAACCTCCTGGAACCTCCTGGGGCCTCCCGGGGCTTTGTGTACCTTCTGGTGCCCCAGACCCCGCCTCGGAGCCTCTTGGGGGTATCCTGGAACCTCCTGGGGCCTCCTGCGGCCTCCTGGAGCCTCTCGGCGCCTCCTGGAGACTCCTGGGGTCTTCTGGGGCCTCCTGAGGCCGCCTGGGGCCTCAGAACAACATGCACACACAGAGACACAAATCACACCCAACACATCACACGCTAAACAAACATAACACACACACACACACACACACACGCACACACACACAACACCTACAACGCACAGCAAACACGCACAACACAGAGCACACATCACACACACACACACACACACACACGCACGCACGCACGCACGCACGCACGCACGCACGCACGCACGCACGCACGCACGCACGCACGCACGCACACACACACACACACAACACTCACAATTCCGGGGCCTCCTGGAGCCTCTTCCGGTATCCAAGGGTATCCAACTCGGGCCTCCTGAGGTTTCCTGGAAGCCCTGGTACACACATCGCAAGGTGTGGCAACCCCAATTGCGCTCGAGTGCGACCTCGATCTTACATTCTTCTGCGTTCACCTCCTGCCTCTTCCCCTTCTCTTAGGCACGCCCTGGCGGCGCCGCCCCAGTTTCCCCTTTTCCATCTCCGATCCTGCAGTCATAATGTTTTCCTGCTTCAAACGCCCTTTTCAGTTTCTTTTGTATGAACCTGGGGACACACGTGCACATTTATATATAAATATATTATATATATATATATAATATATAATATAAATATATCCGCCGGCCCCCTTGTGGGGCCACCATGCTGCGAGGCGGGATTCGCAGTTTCCTGTACCAGTTGTAGCTTGTAGTTTCCAGTGTTACAGTTCTGCTTATTGCTGGTTACTGTAACTAGTTGATTGACCGCGCGAGGGGGGGGGAGGCCCAAACCGGCTTTTTAGCACCCCTGGGCGCGTTGTCTGAATTGCTGGGGGGGCTCGAAATCGACACCCCTCACGCAGATCCGCGGGGTCAGGGTCCAAAAACACATGGGATTTGCCACATTTCTGAAATTCGGTGCCACCCCTCACGCAGATCCGCGGGGTCAGGGTCCAAAAACACAGGGGATTTGCCACATTTCTGAAATTCGGTGCCACCCCTCACGCAGATCCGCGGGGTCAGGGTCCAAAAACACAGGGGATTTGCCACATTTCTGAAATTCGGTGCCACCCCTCACGCAGATCCGCGGGGTCAGGGTCCAAAAACACAAGGGATTTGCACATTTCTGAAATTCGGTGCCACCCCTCACGCAGATCCGCGGGGTCAGGGTCCAAAAACACAGGGATTTGCCACATTTCTGAAATTCGGTGCCACCCCTCACGCAGATCCGCGGGGTCAGGGTCCAAAAACACAGGGGATTTGCCACATTTCTGAAATTCGGTGCCACCCCTCACGCAGATCCGCGGGGTCAGGGTCCAAAAACACATGGGATTTGCCACATTTCTGAAATTCGGTGCCACCCCTCACGCAGATCTGCGCGGGGTCAGGGTCCAAAAACACAGGGATTTGCTACATTTCTGAAATTCGGTGCCACCCTCACGCAGATCCGCGGGGTCAGGGTCCAAAAACACAGGGGATTTGCCACATTTCTGAAATTCGGTGCCACCCTTCACGCACATCCATCGCAAGGCGTGGTAACCCAAACTGCGAGAACTCCCTCGGCCCTTTAATCGCAAGGTGTGGTAACCAAGCCCGTAAACCATACACGTCTTACCAATCGCCAGGTGTGGTAACCCCTCTTGTGATCAGTTGGTTTTGCTGATTGCGAATCGGCTTCGCATGAAGTTTCGATACTGCTTCACGACAGCGCCAAGACCTCATGACTTAGCTCTTCCATGGCCCATTCTCCGAGAGAGGGGGCCGGCGGCAGGGGGCGAAGCCCTGACGGATATATATATATATATATATATATATATATATACAGATGTATATATATATATATATTATCATACGCACCTCTCCGAGGGAGTACAGCTCAGAGGCGATTAATGCGCACGTCGTCCGCGATTTGTCTGGCCGTTTCGCTCGGGACATCCTCGAAATTCTGAAAATCGGTGGCACCCTCACGCAGATCGTGACGTCAGGGTCCAAAAACACATGGGAATTTCAACATTTTAACATAAAACCTTCAAAAACGCATGGTAATTTCAATAATTTTGACCCCGATTCTCAGAGAATGGCGGTTTCGCCTGAGACATCCTCCCAAAATCGAGCCCCAGACCCCTCCTCGGAGCCTCCTGGGGGCCTCCTGGAACCTCCTGGGGCCTCCTGGGGCTTTCTGGACCTTCTGGTACCCCAGACCCCGCCTCGGAGCCTCCTGGAGTTCTCCTGGGCCTGCTGAGGCCGCCTGGGGCCTCCTGGGGCCTCCTGGGGCTTCAGAACTACATGCACACACAGAGACACAAATCACGCCCAACACATCACACGCTAGACAAACATAACATACACACACACACACACAACACCGACAACACACAAAAAGCACGCACCACACAAAGCACACATCACACACACACACAACACTCACAATCCTGGGGCCTCCTGGAGCCTCTTCTGGTATCCAAGTCGGGCCTCCTGAGGCTTCCTGGGAGGCCCCGGTACACACATCGCAAGGTGTGGCAACCCCACTTGCGCTCGAGTGCGACTTCGCTGTTGCATGTCACTCCTGCTTCAAACGCCCCTTCAGCTGGTTGTATGAGCCTGGGCACACACGTGCCACTTGTATATATGTACATGTACATATACATATACACACCCATCTACATATATTCACTCAAACCATCATCGCGCGCGCTTCGCGCGCGCTTTGGTTCTAGCCGAGGCCAAGGACAAATCGAATCAAGTTTCGTCGAAACGCTTCCGAACAAAAAAAGTCGACGGAACACTCGAACAAACACAACAGAGCTCGTCCTTAGCGCTCGCGCTGCTTAGCGTCCTTGGGACCCTCTTGGGAAGCCTGTTGGGACCCTCTTAGAAAGCCTCTTGGGGGCCTCTTCGGGGTCTCTTGGGCCTGTGAGAACCGTCTTGGGCGTCAAAGGGCTAGCTTTGAGCGCTCCGGGGCCGCCATGGAACGTTTTGGGAGCCTCATGGGGCCCTCTGGCCACAACTTGGCCGCCCCTCGGGCTGTCTTGGGCCGTGTTGGTAGCCTTTTGGGGCCGTCTTTGGGACCTCTTGTGCCGTCGTGCGCGCCGTGAAGACGGAGAAGACGTAAATGCTAACACATGCACGTTTTCCGATACAATATCAATGATTTTGGCCGCTCGGGGCTCCCCTGGAAAGCTTCTTGAGGCGTCGTAGCGGCCTCTTGGGCTCTATAGGAGCCATCTTGGGCGTCCAGGGGCGATCTTTGAAAGCCCTGGGACCGTCTTTGACCGATTTGGGAGCCTCTTGGGGCTCCGTGGACACGTCTTGGCCGCCTCTTGAGCACGCCTTGGCCGCCTCTGGGGCTGTCTTGGGCTCCTCCTGGGCCGTGTTGGGAGCCTCTTGGGCCGTCTTGGGGGCCTCTTGTACCCTCGTGCACGCCGTGAAGACGGAAAAGACGTAGATGCTAAAAATGCACGTTTTCCTATACAACATCAATGATTCTGGCCGCTTGGGGCTCTCTTGGAAAGCTTCTTGGGGCGTCGTAGCGGCCTCTTGGGCTCTATGGAAGCCATCTTGGGTGTCCAGGGGCGATCTTTGAAAGCCCTGGGACCGTCTTTGACCAGTTTGGGAGCCTCTTGGGGCTCCGTGGACACGTCTTGGCCGCCTCTTGAGCACGCCTTGGCCGCCTCTGGGGCTGTCTTGGGCTCCCTCCTGGTCGTGTTGGGAGTCCTCCTTGGGCCGTCTTGGGGGCCGTCGTGGGCCTCTTGTACCACTCGTGCGCGCCGTGAAGACGGAAACAGACGTAGATTCTAAATATGCACGTTTTCCTATTACAACATCAATGATTTGGGTCCCCTCGGGTCCTCCGCTCTCTTTGAAAGCTTCTTGGGCGTCGTAGCGGCCTCTTGGGCTCTATGGGCGCCA